CCCCAAAACCCCAAAACCCCAAAACCCCGCTACTGTATTATGGAATAATTATAGTGATTAGACATAAATTTTTTCTGACGCGTATTAATTAATATTATTTAACTAAAACAGATGCAAGTTTGCTCATTAGAACAATGTGGTGTTCCAGTTTGGAGCACATCTTCTCTAACTAGAGACTTATTGGTAAATAAGCAAAATTATGATTATTATCTTTCAATAGGCTACTGGTACTTGGACCGGTTCATAAAACGAATAAAACAGTCTCCTTAGAATTCATAGTTACGATGTCAACAAAGGCATAAGTAAGTAGATTAGATAAGCTATCATATATCTTATCCCTATTCTCCGTAGATCTACTTGGATAAACTCTATCACCTGCTAAGTTTGCTTCTTTAGACTGGTCTGATTACAAAGATGAGTACGGAATCATTGCTGGAGGTAAGAACTTATCATATGATAACTTGAATAGGTATGGGAGACGGCGCAATTACATTGTGGGATGCAAGAAAAATCTTAGACAGTGGAAACAATGATCAACAGCTCAAGATGGGTAAAGGCTGTGTGTCAGCAGCTAATATTCACAACGGAGTATCAGTTGGATCAATAGAGTTCAATCCCCATAAGAAGAATCTCTTGGCAAGTGGAGGATCTGAGGTCCTAATCTAAGATATCACTCACAACATCAAGAGTCCTAATGTCTTCAAGCCAGGTGTTCCAAACTATCATTAAGGCTCTAGAATCACTTCAATCAGCTGGAATAGAGTAGTATCTCACATTTTGGCGAGTGCGAGTGAGAATGGTAAAATTGTGGTTTGGGATCTCAAGATTAACAAATCAATCTTTACCTTCACCGAACCATCTTAAACCTCAGGAGGAGCTGATTACGACTTTGATTACTTTGGCGGAAGTGGAATGGATCAACAACACACTCAGTAGAGACAGCAACAATAAAAGTCTAGAGAGACAACAATGGTATGGAACCCAGAGATCCCTACTCAGTTCTTGATGGCTAATGATGATGATTAGAATCCATCTTTTTACATTTGGGATCTTAGAAATCCAGACTACCCAGTAGCAACTTTCTCTGACATCCACTACAATGGTATTCTTTCAGCCTCATGGTGCCTAACAGATTCAAATATGGTTGTGTCATCAGCCAAGGATTTTAGAACAGTTGTTGTTAACTTTAAAACTGGAGAACAGATCCTCGAATTTCCAACTCAAGCTCAATACAAAAAGCTTTCATGGTCAAAGCCTCTAAAAGGAAAGATCGCAGCTATGGATTCAGAAGGTAACTCTCAGATCTTATCACTACATCCGGAAGGAATGTATTCTCAACCAGAACAAACATTCAGTGTACCAATCGTTAATCCATAAACGAACACCTCATATGCTCCTAAATGGTTACAGCCAAGATGTGGTGCTAGATTTGGCTTCGGTAATAGACTGGTTACTTTCGGAGCAGGCCAAGGTTCTCTTATTAAGGTACATCACACCCCTATTAATCCCTCTCTGGCTTCAAGAATTCAGGCCTTTGATAATGCTATTGAAACATTAGAGTTGACACAACTCCTAGATTAGAAAATTGCTGAGTCATAGAATGACTATGACAAGATGGAGTACACAGTCATGAAGTGCATTTACAGAAAGAAATACGATGACCTTCAAAAAATGTTCGGCTTCGATCAAAAGAAAATAGTTCATGAAGTCGAGAAGTATCTAGGAAAGAGACTGTAAAAACCAAATCAAGACTCGCAATAAGTCCAAGCATAGACTGTCCAAGCCAAGTAGACTCCATAGTTCTCAACAATGACAGCTGAGAGTGCAGCTAAGTTCTTTGAAGAACTTGGAGCAGGTTCCCAAGCAAAGTAAAACAACTAAGCAACTAACAACAACAATAATGAAGAGCAAAAGTTAGGTGATGATTAGACCCTTGAACAGGCTCAATCAAACAGATAGCAGTAGTTCATTACTGAGACTATTTCAAAGAACTCTAACTGGGATGAGGGTGCTGAAGGCATTATCAAGAGAAATCTGTTAATTGGTAACCTCGAGTATGCAGCTGATGTAGCTCTTAAAGCCGGAAGAACCGCTGAGGCACTGCTAATTGCTCAAGCAGGTGGATAGCAATTATTTGATAGAATCAAGGAGGAGTACTTCGCCCTTAACAAGGACTCCTATGTTAAACTCTTCGTCAAGTCAATAGTCAATGATGATTTCAAGGAACTAGTATCAACACAAGCTCTCCATCATAAGTCAGCCAACTGGAAGGAATCACTTTCCTACTTACTTTCATACTAGGAGAAAGAAGAGATGTAAAATTTAGTAAGAGAGTTAGCTGATGAACTTTTAAACAAGAAGAAGGACATCAACTCTGCTATTGCTTGCTATATGGTTGCTTAATCAATCGATGTAGCAGTAGATTTATGGAAAAAGAGAGCCTAATTCTACATTAAGAAAGGTATGGACAGACATGAGGCTCTTTTCCAATTGTTTGAGAAGTGTATACTATTCAAGACAGTTTGCAAATCCACTATCCCTCTATTGGAGCAAGACCTCATTTAATGCGACATGTCAGACTACATGGCTCATGAAAACCTGAAACATCTTGCAATTAAATATCTAGAAATATGTGATCCTAAATAATCCAATGTCGCCATAACTAAGAATAGAATTTTCAACAGCAACTCGCACAAGAACCCAATGGGTTAAAGACCATAACCTCCTTTCTAAGTAGAACAGGTCAGAGTTTAAATGTCAATTCTAGTTCAGCAGCAATAGCAGCAGTAAACTAGAAAAGTAGGTGGCCCTAATGTTAACTAAGCTCAACAAAACACAGCATAATAATAAAGAGGCGTAGGATAATTACCGAACTAATAGAATCAACCAATTAGATAGTAGCAACCCTTGAATCAGCCCCATATTAGGCAATAATAACCACAGCCTATTAATCATCAAAATGCTCAACTAAACAACAATTAGCAGCAGCACATTAATCAAGTGCCTATTCATTAGTAACATCAACCCCAACCATTACAAAATTAGCCTAGACCAAGAGCTAATCTTCCTAATGTTGGCTTGAATGATCCAGCCTTGAGAGCTAATTTCGGTTATAATGAAGCAAGGCAGATTCCACTTTCTGGAGCTTAAAATTAGATCCCTCAGTAAAACCCCCAAAACTAATCATGGAATTAAAATAACTAGCCCTAGTAATTCAATCAGCCAGACTATTAATAAATGAACAAAGCTCCTAACTAGAACTTGATTAGAGGACCTGCACCAGTTAATTTCAATGATAATAATCAGTAAGTAAGACCAACTATCTTTAACCCAACACAACAAAATAAGATTGAGGATGATAAATAAACAGTCCCACCCCCAATTAAGAATCTTCAATAGTCTCAACCTAAGCAGTAGATCAGACCTCCTCCTATCGGTATTAGACCCCCTATTCAGTAAAATATCTAACAGCAACAATAACATCATCATTAGATCTAGCAGCCACCTCTTTAAAACACTATCGTTGATTAAGGTAGACCAGTGAGCTCTCACCAAACCAATATCAATCAATCTCAAAGAAGCGCTCCTCTACCAACTTAAAATCAACTTGGAAATTAGGTTCCACCTATGTAATAGCAAAGAACTGATATTCCACCTCAAGGCAATCCACCTCCTAGAGTTGAAAACATTAGCTAAAATAGACCTCTTGGAAACCCACCTGGCCCATTAGGATCAGGACCTAGACCAAGAATGCCACCAGTTGGAAATTAAATGCACAGACCACCAATCGGGCTTAATCAGCCACCGCTTCAATAAGTAAACTAGCAGTTACCACCCTAACTTGGAAATGTTCCACCTCCAATGAATTAGCCACCTATTGGCGGTCCAAGACCAATGGGTCAACCAAGACCAACGATGAATGCTTCAGCCTCATAGTAGCAACTTATGGGAGCTGGCAGTGGTGGTTCAGCTGATGCTTCGTCATAAGAAGTCGTTCAGAGTCTTGCAAATCTTTTCAGTGTCTACACGCAAGTTGAAGTAAATTTTTATTGACTAATGATTTAATTAGATGAACCAAAAGGTTAAGTCTGAGACTGAGTTCAAGTATAATATACTTAGAGACAGATTGATAGAAAATTAGATATCACCTGTCGTAGTTGGTTTCTTGAAAGGAATGACATCTGCTGTTGAAAGAAACGATTTCAATACTGCTTTAAATATTCACAAAGAACTAGTGAAAAAGACATGGGAAGAGTCTAAAGATTGGGCAAATGCTCTTAAAGTTTTAGTTTCATTCAAACAAAGATTTGCTCAATGATTAAACATTCTGGCTTTTGCTTGGATTTAATTTCAAAATATTCTTCAACTTAATTTACTTGATTTAGTATAACGGGGTTTTGGGGTTTTGGGGTTTTGGGG